ATATTGCCTTTCAATCTTCAACCATAATATATACCTTTATTTTTTTCAGGTATTTTAGATTTTTCATTGTACTATTTTAGTGTTTTCTGTGAAAAAGATCTTGGCCACCATTATTAGACATTTCCCTAATTATCATTATTTTCTATCTATTCCAGATGATAGGAATTTCATTTACATTTCAAAATATTCATATAAAGAAATAAGATTGATATTTGTATGTTGTTTTGTATCCAGTAACCTCTCTAAATTTATTAATTCTGACATTCTCTCAAGAGTTATGTATGCATTGTATGCATAAGAAAACAACATCATTTGTAAACAGGAACAGTGTCATTTCTTATCGTTTACCACAATTGTAAATCTTTCCTTCTTTTTCCCACAGTTACCATGGCAGAAAAACTCAGAAGAGAATTGACATGTCCCATTCACCTGAACTACTTCAAAGTCCCTTTTTGACATTCTAAACACACAATTTTTGTGTCACTTGTCTCAGGCATTTGGAGAGGGAGAACCAGGATGGCTTTTTCACTTGTCCTCAATGTCTCGACGTCAGTCATATCCAAAGGATCCCGAGTAACTTGGCCCTGGGGAGGCTGGGGGCTGAGATCAAAGTGATGATGCCCATGCTGAGCATGTTCTGCTGGATGCTGGATGTGAGTACCCCATCCCAGCTCCTAAAAGGGAATGGGCAACTTCCATTATTTTTGCCTAGGAAGGGAGGGATCATTGTTCTAACTTAAAGGGCTGGGTAAATTTTGAGAGAAGCTACAGGAAAAATATTTGAGGCTGCTGCTATGTATATATCGCTTCCTCAGATGACACATGGAATTGTAGCTCACTACATTTCTCTGCATAAGAGGAAGTTGGTCACCTAAAAATGGGAGTGCATTTGTAGCTTAGATGCAGCTAAGATTATCAACATCATACTCATCACAAATCAACCCTTACTCTGGACTGGGGATTTGTAGCTAGAGAAGGGAGTTTGGAAATGAGAGACTAGTGCCTTTGCTACAATGTTTGAGCCTGTTACCTGTTTCAGTACCTGAGGTTCACAGTTTCAGTTCCTAGTTTTAGTGCTTGGTTCAGTGAGTCAGGTTGATTTGGCAGAATTGGCGAATGTTTCTACAAAAAGTGTTAATTCAACCAGAAACCATTTGCCTGAATGTCTGATACAGCTCCTTGTAAAGAACCTTCAGCAGGTAGTAAATATTTAATTGAGTCCAGGCCTTAAAAATCTTGGCTACTGGTGAACATAAAATTGAACTGGACTTAACATGAAATAGGGATTAAAACAGAGACTTTGAAGCTGCTTCACCTGGCTTTTAAGTCTCTGCAACTCCTTGTATGACCTTGAGCTCTTTCCACAAGCTCTATCCTTCAGGTTCCTCATCTGTAAATGAGGATAAGTAGAAAAGATTTTTTTCAAAACTAAGTGTGTTATTATCTATAAAATTCTTGGTACAATGACTGGAACTAATGATAAATTTTTAATGTTGTTTTACTCTTATTATTAGGGTCATTATTAAACTGTTTTATTCTTTGCTTTATTCTATATATCATATTATTATCCTTTCACTGTGATTATGAGTCTGGATCCAGCTATAGCCAATGACTTCCTCACATTCCCTCAAGACCTGCAGAGCATCAGATGTAGGTTCATCCAGATGAGACTAGAGAATGCAGACATCACCTCTGCTGCTTGTGTCCTGGGGTCTTCCTGCTTCACCTGGAACAGCAGAATGAGCTGTGGTGTTTGCAGTGTGCCTGCATGTCATCAAGGACCTTTCCTGGTACCTTCAGATCTGGGGTTCTAGGTAGTGAGCCTCAGGGGAGGATGTGAAGTTACTGCCAGCACAGAAACTAGGACTCTTCCCCATACAGATCCAAATTTGCATAAAGTAGAGATTTTCCTGGACTGTGATCTGAAAACCCTCCCACTTTTCAATGCCTCTGATGGTTTCCCTCAATTCGCTTTCATAAATGTGTCTACCTCAGATCCACTCTTCTGCCCTGGGACCCCAAAAGAGGGTGAGAACTTGCAACTCATGAAGATCTGTGCCAAAGAAACTACAGATGTTGCAATTTGACCACAGTTCTGTCAAAGACAGGTGATCTCTGTCCAAAAAGAAAAGCTTATTAGATGGAACTGCTGTATCACACACTCCTGATTTCCTCCGATATTACCAGCTATTTATAATGTTGAGAAAACTATCCAATTTGTTTTTCTGATGAGGCGGCCTTGAGATAAGAATTGCAAAAATAAATCATTGGCTTTAAAACCTGACAATTCTAAATACTAGGCTTTGCTCAAAATGGAGTTGAACCAGACTCCAGAGGCCCACTGGTCAAGGGTGGGTTTTGTTTCCTTTTCTGGCATCTTTCCAAGAGCCCACATTCAGGATTCTGCTTGAGGATGGAACCGAGAACGTGTTACTGAAGAGTGCTTGGGTTGGCTATTCCCAGACTCTCCCCTTGAAGACTTGGTAAGAAAGACGTCCTGTGTAAGGGCATAGGGCACATGGGGAGGAGGATCATGGGCTCGAGACATTAAGGGGAACACAGTATCCAAGGGTTTGGTAGGAGAGATAGAGGGAAAGTCTGGGAAGAATGACTTTTGGGACCCCATCTGGGCCTGACTTTAAAAGAATTGAAAGTTGAATCATAAGGAGACAATAAAGAAATATTTTATCCCCTTTTGAGATTAAAGCTGTGTTCTTTGTGGTAATGGACACTATATACATGTTCTTCACTCGACCACGTTGCTGCTAACGTACCCCTAACTGAAAAGATGTCCTCTTTCTCTCAGGTTCTCGTATTTATTAATGTTCTTGGCCTGCTAGGAAGTGGCATCCTTACTAAGCAGAAGGTTAGGATCTCATAAGCCACAGAGCAGACATCGGGCAAGTTTTCTTGGGAGGACTTTGCAGACATTTCCACATGTGAACCAGAGTTCTTGTCCCTCCCTTGTGGGCTTCTCATACCTAATTTAAAAAGGGACATTGCAAATTTATTTTATCCTATTGTATTTTTAGTATGACTAAAGAATTGAATTTTTACTTTTGTTTTTTAAAAAATAGCTATATTAAAATATAATTGGCATATGATAAACTGCATATATTTAATGTGTACATTTTAATAAGTTTTAACATATGGATACACATGAAACCATTGCCCCAATCAAGATGGTGAACTTATCCAACACCCCTAAAGTTTCCTTGTCCCCTTTTGTAATACTTTTCTCCTGCCCTCTCTGTCCTCCATCCCCAAAGGACCACTGATCTGCATTTTGTCACTAGATATTAATTTGCATTTTCCAAAGTTTTGTATAAATAGCATTCAGTGTGTACTCTATTTTGATTGACTCATTTCATTCAGCACAATTATTTTGAGATTTATCCATATTGTGTGTGTGGTAGACAGACCCCCATGAGCCCCACATGCTGGTGCCTCAGGCCTTTGTCTGTACTCTCCCCTTGAGTGTGATTTTGACCTCTAACTTGCCAATAGAACATGGCAAAGATGATGGGATCGTTTCTGTGATTCTATCCAGTTGTATATGATTCAGTCTTGCTAGCAAACTTAGTGGTTTTCCTTTTACATTTAGGGGTATTTTTTTTTCCTCGTGGTTAACCAAGTCCTCTGATAAGTTTTTGAACAGCCTATCTTTTCCTTACTAACCTGATATCTCACCTATCTTATTTCTGCTGGATGAGCAAGGAATGGCATCGACAGCACCCCTCTTCAGTGTTGGTCCTTCAAAGCACAGGGGTGAAATAGAAGCCATGTTGGCTCATGTGGAAAAGTCCTATATGCCAGTGTTGCTCTTCTGGGAGAAATAGAAATCCAGAAAGCAGCACTCTCAGAGAAGGGGGATTTGCAATTTCTTGTTAGCCACAACCCCTGAAGCTGACTAGGCTGCGTGTCTTCCCTCATGAAAGGGTCCTGACTTAGAGAGTAAAATAACTTGAAGTGGCACAATATGTCAATTGCCTTATTTGCTATATAAAAATAAAATGATGCATGTAACAATAAACATTAATGAAAAACATTTATGAAAAGGAAGCAATCAAGAGTTTTAACAAAACCGAAGGTTTTTTGTGGGGGAGAGAAAACTGGGAATTCAACCAGAAGAAGCACTCAGAGAATGGTGGGAAGAGGTGATAATTTGTCTTTGATCTTCTGGTTTATCCAATGAAGGAAATAAGGAAAATTCTTTGAGATCTCCCATTTGGCTACAGTGGAGCCAAGGAATATTACTGCATTCATTTATTTAGAGATATATTCTGTGTCAAGCACTGTTCTAGAAGCTGGGAAATACAGTAGGGATCAAAATAGACCAAAACAGAAAAATACTCCTCTCAAGGGATTTACAATTCTAGTGGGGAGAGTGGTATGAAGATAATAAGCAAAATAATAAGTAAAATATACAGCATGTCATATCTTGATACATATTATGAAGAAATATAGAGCAGTAAGTAGGAACAGGAAATTCATATGGGGTGGGTCAATTAAAAAGATGACAATCAAAGAAGGCCTCACTGACAGGATGAGTACTAGGTGTTAGGACCTCAATGTCTCTCCTTACAAGGAATGGAGCTCCCATCCCAGGAAGGGAACAGGAAATCAGCCACCCCACAGTTGTCCTGACATGGCTCAGCCCCTGGCAGGTCCTCGAAGAGGCCCACTGAGACCATTCTTCTCCAAGATGATCATCAGGCTTATTTTCAGGGAAGATGCTGCCTTTCTGGGGTTCCCAGTGTAGGAGCAGATTTGGCCTTGGGTTACTCTCCTCAGGTCACTAGCTCAGGTGCACCTGTTGAGAAGTTCCAGCCACTCTACTTACTAACGGGAAAGGGTTCAAGCTAGGTAACGAGAAAAGCAAAGGGAAGAACCGTGAAAGGAACATAACCATTGGCCATTTGAGTTAAAGTGGGGCAAAGAGAATCTACATTTATAGATTTGCATTTGTATAAAGAAATTCCAGAACGTACACAGGAAACTAATAAACATGGTTCTTTGTTATTGACGGGGGAGTTGGGCAGTTGAGGACCGGGTTGGAAGCAGGACTGTTTACTGTATTCTTTATGTGCAGTTATTAAACCCTAGCAATGGCCTGCCTGATAGAAACCATAACACAAAACAAAGTTTTAGTTCATTATCCTAATGGGCCACAAGATGGCGATAGTGCATCTTAAATCCACTCCAGCCTGTGGGATGGAAGGAGGGGACTGCTGCTGAGTCCTCCGTCGTGCAGACGCCCTCTCTTCTTGTTCCCTCAGTTCAGCGCCGGAATTTCTCCCTGCCAACGCTTGATTCCTCTCGGTGCCACCCTTTGTTGACCAAAAGTGAAATATGTTCGTCAGTTGGGCTGGCTTTTGAAAAAACTGTTTTGGTTTATGGGGAGAGGGGGAGGCAGAGAAAGGATTATGGACTTATTGAAGCATATGCAAAAGTACACAGAGTAGAATAACATACCTCCCAGTGTCCATCACGCATGCTTCAACAATTGCCGACATCGTGCGCATGTTGTTTCATTACCCATGTCTACCTTGGGCGGGCCGAGGACAGTGGAAAGAAATCACAAACATGTTATTTCAATTATGAATATCTTCACAAACATCCTAACAGATACAGAGTCAAACAAACTACAAGATTTGCACACCTAAGAAAATTTTAGAATGATTTGTAACATCATCCAATATCTAGTACTTAAAAAAAAATTCTCAATTGTCTCAAATATTTTTTTACAATGATTTTGCCGGAACTGGGATTCCATTAGATCTACACATGGCATTTGGTTGCTTTATCTCTTTAATTGATTTTAATTTGTAACATTTAACCAAATCTCCAAATAGCTGAGTTTGATCTTTGGAAAAGGACTTGAGAAACTATAAACTGGAGGATGGAAATTCTAATTGCTTATGGATTGCCATTGCTTGTAGACTTTTTCTGTGGAAAGTGCTAAAGGGGGAAAAGCTGTTTTCTAAAAAGAAAAACAAAATAAGATAATACTGATATTTTCCATTCAAATTTAAGTCAAAAAGGGTTTTCCTTAACATCTTTAGTTTATAATTGAAATTCTTTTATTCTGAAAATCTTAGTTCCTTAGTTCAATAAAAAAAATAATAACTCGGGGCCGGCCTGTTGCCAAGTGGTTAACTTCGCACGCTCCAATTCCGCAGCCTGGGGTTCGCGGGTTCGGATCCTGGGTGCAGAGTTACACACCACTCATCAAGCCATGCCATGGAGGCATCCCACATAGAGGAAGTGGAATGAATTACAGCTACAATATACAACTATGTACTGGGGCTTTGGGGAGGAAAAAACAAGTGGGGGCGGGGAAGATTGGCAACAGATGTTAGCTCAGGGCCAATCTTCCCCCAAAAATAAATGAGTAAAGAACTTGTTTCCCATATCTAGAGACAAAATAGGAAAAGACATCTTAACACTTTTATTATTCTGAATCAGGCACCAGAAGGAAAGAGAGAAGAAAAGAAGGTTTGAATCTACTAGAAACTGACCTCAGGTGAGGTCAAGGTCAGATTTCAGTAAAAGTAGATTTATTAACCCTTTCCTCATTTTGAATTGACATTCACTAATATTTTCTCCTTCCTAAATTAAGGAAGAAAGAACAGAGAAGTATTCATGCTGTGAAATAGCTTAAAAAGAAAATGGTTCCTCTTATGAAGTGTAACACTTTTTTCGTCATGATTTGTACTTTTGTTTAATAAATCATTCCCTACAGTGAGATAATATATTCCTATCTTATCTTCTAAAAGATTTTAGTGGTTTTCCTTTTACATTTAGGGGTTTTTCCCCACTGTGGATAAACAATTGCCCTGATAAATTTTTGAACAGCCTACCTTTTCTCCCTAATCTGATATCTCACCTCTCTCATTTCTAGTGGTTCAACAAAAAATTAGATGTGATTCTTGGCTTTTTATTTAATTCAGTTGGTGAATGTGTCCATCTCTGTGCAACACCACCTAGTATTATAGCTACGTGAGTCTTTTTATCACTAAATCATGATCTACTTCATCAGGAGTTCCTGGGATTTTTTATTTTTACCACCCTGATCTTCAAATAAATATTAGAATTAACTTCCAAATTCCAAAACTAAAGTTAGGATGTTGACTGGAATCACCTTGAATAATTACACCAATTGTAGCAGATCTGACACTTTTACACTATTCAATATTTCCTTTCCATGAACATATTATATCTTTTCATTTAATATCTTTATTTTTTTGGTGAGGAAGATTGGCCCTGAGCCAGCATCTGTTGCCAATTTTCCTCTTTTTGCTTGACGAAAATTGTTGCTAATATAACATCTGTGCCAATCTTCTTCTATTTTGTATGTGGGACACTGCCACAGCATGGCTTGATGAGCAGTGTGTAGGAAGTGGTGCACATGAACCTAACCACTACACCACCAGGCCAGCCTCTATTTAATATCTTTAAATGAGTCTTATGTCACTTGATTTCTTCTTGATCCATTATATTTACTGTAGCTATTATGTGGCTATATTATATATATTTAATAACTTTTGAAAAAGTTTGTTGTGTTATATAAAAATTTAATTAGCTTTTGGCTGGAGGAGGTCAAGGTGCAACTTTCTTCTGTCGTCCCAAATCTGGGTGATCCGACACCCGCCATCTCCACCACGCTGCCTAAGTTCGACGCCAACAAGATCAAAGTCCTGTACCTGAGGTGCAGGGGTGGTGGGGAAGTCGATGCCCGTCTGCCCTGGCCCCCAAGATTGGCCCCCTGGGTCTGTCTCCAGAAAGCTTAGTGATGACATCACCAAGGCAACTGGTGATTGGAAGGGTCTGAGAATTACAGTGAAACTGATGATTCAGAACCAACAGGCTCAGGTTGAGGTGGTACCTTCTGCCTCTGCCCTATCACCAAAGCCCTCAAGGAGGGGCCGGCCCCATGGGCGAGTGGTTAAGTTCCCACACTCTGTTTCAGAAGCCCAGGGTTTCCCTGGTCGGATCCTGGGTGCGGACATGGCACTGCTCTCAGGCCACGTTGAGGCAGCGTCCCACATGCCACAACCAGAAGGACCCACAACTAAAATATACAACAATGTACTGGGGGTATTTGGGGAGAAAAAGCAGAAAAAAAAAGAGTGGCAACAGTTGTTAACTCAGGTGCCAATCTTTATAAAAAAAAAAAAGCCCTCAAGGAACCAGTAAGACACGGGAAGAGGCAGAAAACCATTAAGCGCAGTGGAAATATCACATTTGATGGATTGTCAACATTGCCCAACTGATGCAGCACCTGTCGTTGGCCAGAGAACCCTCTGGAACCATTAAAGAGATCCTGTGGACTGCCCAGTCTGTGGGCTGCAATGGTGATGGCCACCACCCTCATGACATCATAGATGACATCAACAGTGGTGCAGTGCAATGCCCAGCTAGGTAAGAACAGCCAAGGAAAATACTTCAATAAAGGGTCACTTGAGAACCAAAAAAAAAAAAATTCAATTAACTTTTGTAATTTGAGAAATAGCCATTGAAGGCTATAAACAATGGCCAAAAACCAAAATAAACTCTTTTCCACAGATTGCTTCTCCCTGAAGATGATGATAATTTTCTCACTTAATACAATACATGTCTCAGTCATACCTTAAGGAGCAGGCAAAGTCTTTTCAGTTACAGGAAATAGCTCCTAATCCAGGATCTATTTCTCTTCTAGTTCTATTGTGAGGTCATCTATATATTCTGTAACTGGGAAGAGTTATGTAGCACGAAGACACCCTAAATAAAATGCTAACAGAGAAGGAAAGAAAAAACAGTGATTAGGTTAGTCAAATATATACATGAACTATCAAAAGAGGAAATATGGATAGGCTGAAAATTTTTCTCAACTCAGTTATCCAAGAATGATTTCACCAATTCCTAAAAAATTATTAAAAACTTTGTGTATTTATAAATTTCACAGTAACTTACATTAGTATAGTTTAACTTGTATTTGAATATGTCTGAGACTTAGTTGACCTGCTTTCATTGTGTATTTTTTATGGGAGCATTTTAAAGAACACTCGAACTGTCTCCGTTCCAGCTGCCTGCTCATCTCCCTCAAAAGCAGAGTGTGAGAGGGGAGAAGGAAAACAAAAACACATAAAAATCTGAGAAACAGAGGAGTTCAAAGGCCCAAACCTCTTAAGTCAGGACTTCTCACTTCTGTTAAGCCAGCTAGTGAATCTAACTAAAATTGCTTTAACTTTATGTTAAAGGGAATCATTTTTGGTAGATCAATCAGATTCAATAGTCATCTCAGTATCCACTAACAGAGGCATTACTCGTTTGGATACTAAAACTTCCAAAAATAAAAAATAAACCCAGCAGAGTGAACCTTTAGATGCAAGGATGGAAAGTGAAACTTTTTTGAGTTCGTTATTAAGAGTAATAGAGGTATCACTTCATTTCTACCTCTTAGTTCTTTAACTAATGTGTTTTGGCAATGGGAAAAATTATGGCTATTTTTTGTCACTATTCAGCACATATGTAACATCCAGTTGAAGAGGACTCCAATAACTTGCCAAACTCCTAGATGCCACTTTAATTGAGTTTCCTATGGATAAGCCTGCTGCTTATGAAGGATGTGGTACACATTAAGACTAGGGAGCCCCATGGTTATCTGTGCATTGCCTTACCTTTTCTCTACAAAGTGTTGAAATGGGTGAAAAATAGTGTTGTGAGGTATGGAGTATAAAGTATTCAATAAATCCATAGATAGTCTTGCTAGTAAAGCATGAGAGAAAGTGAAGCACATCCAAATCTAGAATAAGTGTCTATCTCAGTGAAGACAAAGCCCTGCCTCATCCATGACAAAATGGATCCAAGAATACTTGTCCCAGCATATGGGACACTTAGCAGTTTCAGCATCCAGGTCAGCCTAGGTGAGCTAGGTCTGTACTGTAGACTCCATGCATGACCTCTACCACTGCCACCCTGGCCACCTTGTGTACAAACTGTTTGTGCAGGAACGAGGGTGTTGGGAGTTAGTGACATCCCTATGGTTGATGCTGTATGCCTGATTATTGACAGTCTCCTCTGAGACTGGGCCTTTTGGTCAGCATTCACATGGGATATTTTTCTTATACTCTGGGACCTTTCTGAGCATTTCATCTACATCACTCTCCCCCGAAACTTCTTGCGAACAAACCTCCAGCTTTGTCCCCTTCAAATCTTTGCCTATCTAGACAAATCATTAACCATGCACATGAATCAGTTTGGATCAATATCGTAGATCATTTCTCCTTCCAGAAAAGGTAAACAATGAGATGCAATGCTCCCAATTCTTCCCAGTGGCAGCAATTCTTCTCTCTTGCCAACTATCTTTCATGGATACTCCTGAGTGGTTATTATTATTACTGTTTCTAATACTGCCGTTATGATTGATGTCAGTAGTAGTATTAGCTCACATATGTTGATTGCTTACTATATGCAGCACATTGTTCTAAGCATATTAATTAATTAAATTAATTAAAACATATTAATTAAAAGTGTTAATTCATGAGAAGCTATTGTATTCCCTTTTTAAAAAGAGAAAAAAAGTCAGAGAAATTAAAGCAATTTGCCAATGCAAATTTTAAGTGGCAGGGCCAGGTTTCAAACCTAGAAAGTATTTCTCAGCGAACAATTTATAGGAAAAATGTTATTAAAAAATGTTATTTATAACATGTCATTAAAAAACAAATGCTATTAAAAATAACATGGTATTAAAAAATAAAAAGCATCACTATGTTTCAGAACTAGAAATAACTGGAGTGTGAGCTACTTGCCCTAGCAATTATTTTCTTCCTTCAGCACTTGCTCAGGCTGGGTCTTGTATATATCACTTCCACTTGATAATCAAGTGCTTCATAGTTTTGTACTTCATACTTCATAGTTTTGTAGATCTGACAATGTGCAAGTAACAGCAAGGAGCACAAAAAACATGTTCATTTGGTTTCCCAATGTCAAGTGTATAGTGCAGTTTTAACAGTGAGTGAGCACAGACACATTTGCAAAGACTAGAGAAAATATTAACAATGTGTGAAATAAGTTCCTCAGGAATCCATAGTTTTTAATTAAAATTCAGAAATTCTCCTCTACATTTATGTGCAGCATGCAAATATGCCCTAATGCAATGCAAACTCTAAACAGAGCTGCATATCCAAAATTTGGGGACAATATCAGGAGAAGTGACAGTTTGAAATTAAAGCTTAAAATAAGTCAAATCAATGGAGAGTTTGCAAATATAGCTATTACTAATTGGATATTTTCCATATATCATGAAAAACTGAAAACAAAATTAACAAAAATGTACGTTATGATGAAATTAACTTTAACATATCAAAGATAATATTATAATTGAAGAATAGATATCTGCACGGCCTCTACATATAGGACCACTAATCTTTCAACAGACTTCGTCAGTGTGTCTCTATTAACTCCCAGAGGAATGAGTGCCTTTATTGCAATAACCATGGTAGATTAAAAAAATATATATGTGTACAGTAGAAAAAGGAAATATAATCATTTGACATAGTTTGAAAAAAAGTCCTTTACAAACAGCTCACTCATCTAAGGCTATGCCCAAGGCATGATTTTGGTTTGTGATCTCTGGGGATGACCTGGCAATTACTTATAAGTATTTTGAGCAACGAGTATTTATTTTGTGATAAGATATATCACAATGCACATTTTTTAAAATGATATACTCTGTTAGTTTAGCTTTGAACCAATTCTTTAGAAGCTGATCAGCAATGTTTTAAATTGATGGCAATTAGTTTTTCAAGCAAATCATTAAACCCTTGTCTTATTCATAAGGGTACTCCATCAAGGTGCAAATAACCCAGAAGATGAAAATTTAATTTATTTACCTGATTTGTTTATCCCATAGGCAGTTTAATTTTCTGAGTAATAGGAGAATCGGCTGAGACATTTTCAACTTTGTAGTTTTCAAAACTTTAGTCTTTATGAATTGTCTTCTGAGGATAGACTACTGCCTATGACTCTTCTGTCCCAATCTCTCTCATTTTCCCCCAAATTCTGGCGTTTTATTTGATTCCTATACCCTATAAGACAAAGAAACAACAAAAAAAACTATTTGGCTCAGAAATTATCTGATTACGTGGATTAATGGAGAGAATCAGGGGGCTCATGTGACACATAAGATAAGAAATGACAAAAATCCCTTATGTTCTGTTTATTTATGGGACTCAGTTATCATTAGTGTGGGATGGAGACGGTGAAGGACAGGAACTTTTAGCTTCCTTCCTTTACTTCTTTATTTTTCATGTCATAATGAGCGTACATTCTGTATGTGGAAGCACAACAAACAGCAGCAACTCAAGTAGATACATATGAGAACCTATATGGAGGCCACTTCCAAATGCTGGACAAGCTCTTGGAAGAAGGTCCAAAAAGGAAGAAATTTCAGAAAGCAGGTAAGATTGAAGTGGGCCTGGAAACGTGGACAGGACTTCAGTCATGGAGTCAACTGAGTCAGTGCAGAAGCGTATATTCGACACTGCATTTAACAAAATCCAGTTTTAGACATCACTGTGCTAAGATTAGCTGCTTTACTTATATTAGGTAGTAATTTATCTATTTAAATTCATTTAAAATTACTACCTAAACCCAAAACAACCATAGTGGAAGCTTCCAAATGCTTTATAGGTCATGGCTTTTTACCTAAAAGAGACAGAATTTTGAATAGTTACAATCTACAGAAACATTGTTCGTTGGATGACTGGTTCTCATTTATGACAACTTGAATGACGCGGAATTTGTTTCTCCTCACTGGGTCCAGGCAAAGCCAAAAAAAAAAGGATTTAAAATACTAAGTAAAGGAACTTTAAAATAGAAAGTGATTTTGTTTCAGAGAGTCTGGGATAAATGTCCTCAAGCTTCTGTGACTTCATTGGATCCGAAATAGTCGTTTCGTCTTATAATATTTTCTATTACCTGAACGTACGGCAAAAGGAGAGTAGTATACTAATTAGAAATAAAGCATTGGCATTTCTCAGACTGAATACTACATCCTTCAAATTCCTTTCTCTCCAGCGAAAATTTCGAGAAGAAATAATCTCATTCCCGAAAGGGATAAAACACTAAAGAAAAGGAAACAATGAAAAGCTGGATGGATTACCCGACAATGTTTGCTGAAAGAGCCTACGAGCGCTGGGCTGAGGAAGGCGGGAAGCGGAATCCTCCGCGCGCCCAGCCCTGCGAGTGCTTCCCGGATCCCGGCAACCAATCAGGACGCGGAGAGGAAAGGCGGGCGCTCCGCGGGCAAATTCAAACTGCCCGCGCAACCTCTGCACCGGGGCGCGAATCCAACTCTTATCCCTGACAGATGCCCAGGGAGTATTTGAATTTGCTTCGAACTGAAGAATTTTCTCTTCCATCGTTACTTAATCTAATAGTTGCCAGAACTGGTGGCACAGCCCTACTGAAATGCAGGAAGTTCCTAATGACAGTAAGCTCCGGGCGTTATGTTACTTTACAGAGTTAGAGCTTTGCCAGGGTCACATAATGTTATTTTTGTTGCTAGTGCATGTCGAGTTTACCGCGACAGGAAGGATCCTGAAATATTGTTCAGTAATTAGTTCGCAGACTAAATACAGTAATAAGCTACCAAAAAATACCCAGCATATACGGAAAACAAGCACCAGCTCTGTCTTTGAGCATATGGGTGGCTCTTAAAAGAGCCGTTAGGTTTGAGTTTACAGCGAACTCACTGTTTACTTGGCGCTGGTGTACTTGGTGACGGCCTTGGTGCCCTCCGACACGGCGTGCTTGGCCAGCTCCCCGGGCAGCAGCAGGCGCACGGCCGTCTGGATCTCCCTGGAGGTGATGGTCGAGCGCTTGTTGTAATGCGCCAGGCGCGACGCCTCGCCCGCGATGCGCTCGAAGATGTCGTTGACGAACGAGTTCATGATGCCCATGGCCTTGGACGAGATGCCGGTGTCGGGGTGGACCTGCTTCAGCACCTTGTACACGTAGATGGAGTAGCTCTCCTTGCGGCTGCGCTTGCGTTTCTTGCCGTCCTTCTTCTGCGCCTTGGTCACAGCCTTTTTGGAGCCCTTTTTGGGGGCTGGAGCGGACTTAGCTGGCTCAGGCATAATGAGGAACAGCTCAAAAAGCCTCAGAAAAAAAGAAAAATAATGTGAGGTAAACACAAGGTGTCCTCTTTATATAGAACCTCTTATGCAAATAAAGTGATAAAGTCTTGTGTGTGATTGGTGACCATTCAGGAAAACGTCAGAAGTTAGCTATGCCCAATCAGAATGCAAGAATTCCAACCTCGCATATCCATTGGTTAAAATGAATCTGCACTCCTAACCAATGACAAACCTTCTTTTTCGCGCCCAATAAGGTTTATAAAAACTGCTGCTTTGTTCCTTTGCTTTGCTGGTTGTTTGAGGTGAAGTTGAAGAGATCATTATGTCTGGACGAGGCAAGCAGGGAGGCAAAGCTCGTGCCAAGGCCAAGACCCGCTCTTCTCGGGCCGGGCTGCAGTTCCCCGTGGGCCGAGTGCACCGCCTGCTCCGCAAGGGCAACTACGCCGAGCGGGTCGGGGCCGGCGCGCCGGTGTACCTGGCGGCGGTGCTGGAGTACCTGACGGCCGAGATCCTGGAGCTGGCGGGCAACGCGGCCCGCGACAACAAGAAGACGCGCATCATCCCGCGCCACCTGCAGCTGGCCATCCGCAACGACGAGGAGCTCAACAAGCTGCTGGGCAAAGTGACCATCGCGCAGGGCGGTGTGCTGCCCAACATCCAGGCCGTGCTGCTGCCCAAGAAGACCGAGAGCCACCACAAGGCCAAGGGCAAGTAATGGCCTAGATTAGTTTACAGTATGTCGAATAAGTCGAGTCCAAACCAAAGGCTCTTTTCAGAGCCACCCATCTTTTCTGGAAAAGAACTTAACGCTTGTTTTACATTGGATGAGAAAGTAAGATTTACCGGGAAAAGTTGAGTCACAACTATCTTTTTGAAAGCAAAACATCATTGATTAAAAGCAAAACTGCAGGGACAGTAAGGTTTGTATCTCACCTAAAAAGTTATTTGAAGTGATTGTGAGTAGACCTATTAGATCTCTTGCTTAAACATCTAGTTGACGTGCGTCCATAAGGAGCCGTTATGTTCCTCTGTTTCTGAAATGTGGTAGAAAAGTACTGCCCTGCTTCGAATTTAGGAGACGATGCAGCAAGCAGCTGACCACCAAGGCTGCCTGCAAGGGAGCGCCGGCCACGGGCGGCGTGAAAAAGCCCCCCTGCTACCCGGCTAGCACGGTGGCCCTGCGCGAGATTCGTGACTACCACAAGTCCACCGAGCCTGCTGATCCGCAAGCCGCCATTTCAGCGACTGGTGCTCGAGATCCTGCAGGGCTTTAGACCGAACTGCACTTCTAGAGCTCGGTCTCGGTAGCGGTGGAGGAAGGGTGCGAGGCCCACCTAGTGGGGCTCTGCAGAGACAGCAATCTGTGCATCATCGATGCCAAACGCATCACCATCGGGCTCAAGGGCATCCAGCCCCGCTACAGATCAACGGAGATCTTCATGACACCATAGTCTACCCCGCCCAAAGCTGTCTGTCAGAGCCACATACATTTTTCCAAAGAGTACTTATGCTGTGAGCCACTCCGCTCACCGCCACCTTTAGTTTTGCTAAATGAAATGAGTAAAATGTTGGGATTACATCTGTAGGTGTGACACCATTCTGGAGCCCAGGAAAGATCTCTCGTGTTTGGGATGCGCCTAAAATCTGAAGAGCCGTTGCCTAAGGAGAATTTGGCAAGGTAGTTATTTCTAACAAAGTCCGAACCAATCAAGACGTTTGAGGAAATATTTACCATAACTATTGCCATTGAAATGTAAAGTTGCTAATCACATAGGCTGTTAAACTTCTGCCTCACAGACTTAAAAATGTGTGTGGGGTAAGGAAAATATAAATGAGGTTAGGGTATGGTTCCACAAAGGGGCTGTTTATAAGTGTTGGAGGCTCCTGACAGAAACTGAGGCCTCTCAGCAAATCTAACATGGTTATCTATGGAAAAGGGCTATTTAATGTGACATTACAAGTAACTTCTGTTGTTTTTGTAACTAAATAAGGAATACCCCTGCCAATGGTGTTTATTGCCTAGGTTGCACAATCTTGCCTCCTACTCTGCTCACTGAACTCCTTTAACCAATGTCATCTGAAAAAAAAGGCGTACTTTTTTTTTCTTGAATATCATAGACACCTTTGACTGTGTGGTGACATTTATGGAAAACCTTCTCAGAATGTTTTAAGTGTATAAAAGGAAAAATTGCAAAAGAAAATTATTACATTACAGTTATCAAAGTATTTTTAAAAATAAATTTGATAGAAGACATACGTGCTTATATAGTTAGCACATTACAGAATACAGTCTTTTGGTGAGCTTAATAAATGCCATCAGTAATTAAATGAGTATAAATGATGGTTCAGGATAACTCATTGTTATGAGAAATAAGACATCTGTGATTTCCGTTGGGTAACAAAGTAACAGGTACTGAGGTTTGTGACCTAAATTCATAATAAACTAAAATGCCAAAGTTCAGTCAAAGGTTAATTAAAATATATTTTTCTCCATCCAAATTCATGGACATATCCCTTACCACCACCACCACCACCCCACTCCATCCACACCCTGGCAGTTTTTTATCCTTGGAGGTATTGTGGCAATATATGGACCCGAGGTTGAAAACCCTTGCTCTAAAATTTGGTCAACTTACCCCATTCCTTTTCAACTTAAAATTTTTCCCTGAAACTGTCTCTTACTGTCCAGAATTTTTTAAGCACTTATAGTCTATTAATATCTCATATTAATATTTATATTCTTTTATTATTTCTATTTCTTGTACTTAAAATATAACTACTTCCAGTCCCAGTATAAATATGACTTCTTAGAATAAAAACAAATGCAGACAACAATATCTGACACTGATAGGCACTGAAATGGCCCCTCTAAAATAGTAGGCCTTAAAAAAGGAAAGGCTTAAAAACCCAAATGATTTTATTCATTATTCAATTGTTCTGTCTTTAAATATGTCTTCTGATATTAGAAAAAGAAAAATAATTTTTCTTCCAAAATTTTCCTCTTCTGAGTTTTTTTTAGTTTTTCTTCCAATAATTTTTCCTCTTCTGAGTTTTTAGCTGAGACCTCTGTAATAAAAGACAGATTTGCAAGAGAAAAACAAGCAGAAGTTTATTAATATATATACCTTATTTATATATGGGAGATACCCAGGGGAAAATGAGTAAATTGGGAGGTGCCTCAGAACTCCAGCTTCAATAGCATCTTCAGCTAAAGACAAAAGATGTGGAGAAGTCAGTTAGGAGGAGGTTACCAGGAAAACAGGGGTAAATTCTGTTAGTCAGATTTAAGTTGATGCCTTCTCCACTGATAAAGGTCCTAAATTGTCTACTGGGATTAACTTTTGTCCTTCCTGGTAGGGAGGGGAAGAGGAACATCTTTGTAGGGGAAAGGCAAGGAGCTTTTCCTGTATCTGCTTCATCTCAAATACCTTCAGCTCAAAATAATCCTCATGCCAAAGCGGCATATTTTGGGTTGGTATATTCTGCTACCCTTCAATACCTAATACTAATATTTTGTTGATATATGCTATTAGGTCTATAATACTAGAAATCTGAAATCTACATTATATTTTTAAATGATACACAAAGAATATTTCCAAGGAAAATTTTAAAGCAAATTAAAGCTCTGTCTTTACAATACTTTTAAGAGTGTTTTTTTTTTTCATTTTAAATCCAGTGTTCTAGGTTAATAATTTAATTGAACTTTTTTCTTATATTTGTAGACATTTATATATCCATTACAGACAGTTTGGGCATCTATTCATTTTGAGATGGACAGGCTAGAGGAGAACCTTTCGTGATGGTGGGCAGACACATTAAGAAAAACAGGTGGATGTGGTAGAGATTAGGAGGGAAAGGGGAGAAGGAATAAGAAGGTAAGGTCAATTATCAGGACAATTATCAGCCCTTCCTTTATCCTGATTACCTCCCCTATGTCTTGGCTAGATTCTGCTCCTTTCCCTTTTCTCCCCCAGGGACAGTTTATCTCCCTGAGGACCTAAACTTGCCCCATGCGGAAAGTGATTCTGGGCCCTAATCAACATTTGCGGGCTGCAACCCAAATCAATATGAGGCTTGGATTTCTCTCATGTGGAACAATGTCTGAAGTCAAAATGTGGAAGACACTGACCACAATGACAGTTTTTAGAAATAATATGCAAAATAAATACTCAAAGTTTATATTGCCACTTTGCTCCAGTAGTGCAATCGCTAATCTGCTGAACTTTACCAGATGGTAAAGAATGAGACCAAATTCTCCATCAAAACTTTGGTTAAGATGCATCTCTAGGAATTTACTCCAAATAACTATTTGGTGGAAATGCACAAAGACGTGTGTTCAAGATGATTGCAACATTGTTTTAAAACTGAATTCATTACATCTAAAACACCTACTATTGTAAGATAAACCATTATGCATCAGTAAACAAACACACAAAAAAAGAAATGCTGACTATATTCAACATGCCATCAATTTTAAGATATATTTGTACTTAAGAGATGCTGAAATGTGTACAGATGTGCATTTCAGACTCAAAAAATATGGTGGCATCAATTTGAAAACAAATGAATTTCAATGAAGAGGTTAATAAACAAATTACAAAATTCCACACAAAATGAAAAAATATTACCTATTTAAGGTGAGTCATTCATTCCTTCAACAAATGGACATACTGAAGTAGACACTATGCATGCATAGTAAACAAAACAATTTCCTTGCCTTCAATAAACAAGATAATTCCCTTGCCTTCATAGCATATACATTCTAGCGAGAAACAAAATAAGCTTAAAAATAAAAGATATTAAATTTTAGAGCCAGCCCTGATGGCTTAGTGGTTAAAGTTCAGCACTCACCACTTTGGCGGCCCCGTTCCTTTCCAGTTCTTGGAACCACACCACCTATCTGTCGATAGCCATGCTGTGGTAACTGATCATGTAACTGATTTAGGGTGGTGGCTTCTGACCTTTACTTAATCCGATTTGATTCTTATCTAAAAGTCATGGTTACGGGACCACCCAATGACCAGACCCCACCTGCACTGATACCATTTTAACTTTTTTACATGTTCTTTTCTTTGTCTTGTAAAGAGATGGCTCACATACCTATGCCTTAAAGTTAGCCTTACTCTCCAGCCACGTTTGCAACAGAAGCAGCAGCAGCAGCAGCTCTGACTGCCCGTGGGTCCTGTCCCCATGGCAGCAGAAGCAGCAGCAGCAGCACCTCCTCCTGCCCGTGGGCCCTGTCCCCACGCAGCAGCCTGACTACCCATGGGTCCTGTCCCCATGCTATTCCACACTATTCTCTAAATAAAAGAGCACTACTGCCAGATCTTGAGAGTCCAAGAAATCTTTCTTTCGACTCCTCGGCTCACCGACCCCGCATCACCAGGGTTGGTTCCTTCTAGAGCCTTTGAGGGAGAAATCATTCCATACCTCTGTAGGGGTCTGGAATCAGCCACCCCAAGATATGTCTCCTTGGCATCAGGATTATTTGAGGTTGATTGCTTTTGATAAACTGGGACAGGGAAGGAGGCTCTGCTGTAAAGGTGCCTCCCTCTCTGTACCAGGAAGAAGAAAGGCGGTGACCTTCTCTCTAGAAACTCTTAATCAATACCAAAGACAAGGACTTAAATCTGCATTTTATTGTGCTTGTCTGGTAACCTTCTGTAACTGACTTCCCTCCCCCTCCCAATGTTGGCATTTCTTTAAGGATTAAGCATCTTTCCTTAGGCTAGAAACTGATTGCTGCACTCACCTGTGACCACCCAGCTCCAGACAATAAACTTGCCTCCTGCCACGCCCTCTGAGATAGCAGACCACTCCCTGCTGTGTCCATCAAGCACTGTGCCGACAGGACAATCTTGTGACTATTGTGGGAGGGACATTTCAGTCACATGTGAAACACCCTGTTTGGGGGTATATAACCACTCTGTGCACCCCACTTCTTCGGTGCCCTTTCTTCCTTCGGGAAGAAAGGCCCCGGACCATGGTTCCTCATAAAGCTTTGTTTAATTTTCTCTTGCTATTCTGTCTCATGTGAATTTAATTCGTTCTCCAGCCAGATGAACCCACATTTGGGAAGAGAAAATGTCTTCCTCACCTACACCTCTCTTCCAGCTTCTGGTGGTTGCCAGCAATTCTTGGCCATCCTTGGCTTGTGGCAGCATATCTCCAATCTCTGTCTCCATCTTCACATAGCCTTCTTCCTTGTGTGTCTCTGTGTCCTCTCCTCTTCTTATAAGGAGAACAGGCATTAGATTTAGGGCCCACTCTAAAAGCAGGATGATTTCATCTCAAGATTCTTATTACATCTGCAAAGACCCTATTTCTAAATAAAGTGATATTCTGAGGATCCAGGTAGATATAAATTTTGGGGAAACACTATTCAACCCACTACAATTCCCCTAGAACATCTGACCAGATGGTAATTGAGCAGAGGACATGTATAAAAGCAGGTAGTAAATCATGTTGCTCTTTCAGGGAAAGGATTCTAAGCAAAGAAGATAATGCAAATACTTGAGGCAATAGTATGCATGGAATGTTTAAGCAAGATCAAAAAGTTTAAGAAAGTTAAAGTTTAAGATCAAGAATGTTTAAGGAAGATCGAGAAGGGAGCAAAGGTAGAAAGTGAGTTCAGAGATAGGCAGAAGTCAGATAACGAAGAGTTTTATATGCTATGCTATGAGTTTTGCAAATCATTCTAAATGTCCACTCTAAGAGTTTTGAACAGAGGACTGGCATAACCTGATTTATATTTCTTTGAAAGTTCACTAACGCAACTGTATAGTGATTACAAAGTTTAGAAGTAAGAATATAAGTTAGGAAGATATTGCAGAAGTCTTTTTGAGAGAGAATAGTGGCTTGGCCTAAATTGGAGGCAGTAGACAATGGATAGGGATAGGATGTATTTTGCAAGCGTAACTAATAAAGTTTGCTGCTGGATTTGATGTGTACTGTGTAGGGGAGGAAAAAATAATTTTCCCTCTACCCTTCTGAGTTCTTGGCTGAGACTCTGTAATAAAAGACAGATTAACAATAGAAAAACAACCAAAATTTTATGGACATGTATACCTCATGTATACATGAGAGATACTCAGGAAAAATGAGTAAACTCCCCCAAGACGGCCCAGGCCACCACCTTATACACCATCTTCTGCTAAAGACAAAAGAAAGGAAGGTATGTGTCTTGCAGGGGAGGGCAGTTATGAGAGGTCACCAGGAAAAGCACCTTAAATAAGTATAAGGTTTGTTATGCGGATTAAAGTAGGTGCCTTCTCCATTAAGATCCTCTTGTGATTTAGAGTCATTCTTCTCTTCCTGGGACAGAGAGACACTTACAAATGGAGATTTCCTTTGTAAATGTAAATGTCTCTTACAAACAGGTAACTTCTACTGTTTTCAGAGATTCTCATGTGTGTGCCATTTCTCAAAAACAATCAGTTCAAAATAATCCTTATGACAAAGAGGCCTAGTTTGGGGTGGCATATTCAGCTAGCCTTCAACTGTGAAAGAATATAAAGATTCAAGGAAAATACTTTGATCTTAACTAAGTTTATCTTGATAATTAAGTCAGTTTGCGTGTTAGAAAACAGCCCAAATAGCATCACATTTTTATAGAATAATATATGGTGTGTTTATAGAAAACTAAACACCATTGGCTTTCAATTCCAGAAACTATAAAGAATCTGACAAACTTTTCAGATATCCATCCCTTGCTAACTTTATTATCACTAGTTGCTATGCAAAAACTCATGAAATCAGATAGGGAAAGAGGCTGGCTACTGGTTGCTGGGAATTTTACTGATTTTTAATGTAGACAAGAATCTGTAAAATGTGTTCCAGTTAGCTAGTGTTGGGGAAATATAATTAAAAATAAAAGAGAAAATTTTATATGGAATAAGCGTTAAGCCAGTATGCCATGCTCATCACAGGCAATCTTCTCAGAGATTGCAAAGACAGAAAGAAATCTCACTCTTTTATATAGTTGAGTGGATACAACTCATTATTTTAGATAGGCTTTGCAATTTGGAGTCAGGTAACAGCTGAAGTCAGGTCTATCTCCTCAGGAAGCTGGAAAATAGAGCACTATTTTCCTTGATGATTACATTTCAAAGAAAGGGCTCTAATGTCCTTGAGGAAACATTCCTGAGTTAAGAGGCTGGCAAAGGGCTTATTTGGCCATTAAAATGATGTACCTACATTTGAAACGGGCAGAAAAGGAAATTCTGAAAGAGTAAAAGAAAAGGAGAGGGACCCTCGGGGAGGATTAAGCCTCTTATTTTCAATTTGTTTTTGACCTTAAACAAATTTGTTTAATTAACCTATGCTATCTATCCATCTATAAAATGCACTGAATTCTGCTTTTGCTGGTTGAATCAGTTTTGTTTTTTTCAAAGGTGTTTCACAAGTTTTCTTTTATTGCAACAGAAGTACAGGAAAAAATTTAAATATTTTAATAAAAATGTATATTTTATTATTTTTATTTTATGAAATTTAAGTGAAATACCTTGAAAATGCTGTAATGCAAGATTGCTAAAAGTAACTCTCATTGAAATAAAGGATAGTGAGAAAATAATTGAATAACAAGGGGTTTACATTCTAATGCTGGAAAAAGTGATTAAAATTTCTCAGAATTTAAGCAATAGTAAAATTGTCTGTATATATTTTTTAAATTAAGTATGTTCAACCAAGAATGTTTGTATATAATCATTCTTTCAATGAAAATTTTCTTAGAAAGACAAAAGTATACTTTCTTTCCCCTGCATTTGAATTTTCCACTTGCCCATTAATGACAAATTAATTGTTCTTGTAATTAATGAAAATATTATTTTAATTTTTTAAATTATATATTATCTAGAAAAAACTCTACTGAGATAGATCTAAAGACCCGGATTGACGGAGACATCCAGTATTTTTCAGATTAGGAGGACACAGTATTTCAAAGATAATAAATTTACCCTAATAAATGTGATAGATTGAACACAGTTTTGATGAGAGTACTAAAAGAATTTTTTTGTTGCAGCTAGATAAAATGGTTTGTAATTTTAAGAATAATGGTGATAATAGCAAAACTTTTTTGAAAAAATAATTATGAGGTAGGAACTCACTGCCAAATACTAAACTATTTTTCAACCTTACAAATAATTATAATACTTCGGCACTACACGTAGACTGATCAGCAGAACAATAAAAACTGAGGAAACAATTTTAAGCGAAATATTCAATATATGATCAATTAAGCTCCTCAAATCAGTGGAGACAGTATTTATTATGTTATATTGATTAGTCAGCTAGTTAATTTTTTAAAAGTTAATTCTCTATACAAGAAGCCAAGTCCGGATTATTAGAGAGCTAAATTTTTTTAAATAGTTCTATCCTTTATTAGTAAGATATACTGAAAATTGGTACACTTTTGGTGGAAGAGAATTTAGCAACACACCTGGAAGATCTTAAAATTCTCTATTTTGTTCATCTTGTTCTATTCTCCATTCTCCTTCCATAGAAATTCTCTATTTCTCCATCTTGTTCTGTTTCTAGGAAGTTAGTATATGGAGTATATTTCCCCTGTATATGAAGGAGAAAAACTTTCCAAAGTGGTACGGTGTTATGAAAATACTGTTGGAGAAAGAAAATACTTGTATATATGTAGAGATAAAAACAGAATATTTTATTCTCTTTGCTTTTTATGTATCCTCTACAATGTTAAAGTTTTATGATGGGGCACAAAACATTAAATGAGAAAAGAAGGAGAAAGCCTAGGTCTTGAGGGTTTAAAAGAATTAACTGAAACAGAACAAAAGGAAGCAGCATAAGCTAGAGTGTTTCCTTTTAGGTCCCCTCCCCCAACCCAGAGGGACTTCCCGCCACAGCTCTTTCGGTTTTCACTCTGGTCCGCAGAGGTTACCTATAAAAGGGAGCTGCGAACACTGACTTCATTTTCTTGCTTCACTGACTTCCTGAGGATGTCTGGACGTGGCAAAGGTGGAAAGGGTCTGGGTAAAGGTGGTGCCAAGCGCCACCGTAAGGTGCTGCGGGACAACATCCAGGGCATCACCAAGCCTGCCATTCGGCGTCTGGCCCGGCGTGGGGGTGTCAAGCGCATCTCCGGTCTCATCTACGAGGAGACCCGCGGGGTGCTCAAGGTCTTCTTGGAGAATGTGATCCGGGACGCGGTCACCTACACCGAGCACGCCAAGCGCAAGACGGTCACCGCCATGGACGTGGTCTACGCTCTCAAGCGCCAGGGGCGCACTCTTTATGGCTTCGGCGGCTAAGATAAAAAGCACTTGCAACCTAGTCGTTTACTAAAAAGGCCCTTTTTAGGGCCCCCAAGTTTTCACCGAAAGAGCTGGGCTGAAGTGATTACCTGCAAAGAAGTTTCTTAAGAAAGCTATTATTAATGAGTTCTTTAGAGCGGTTGTATAAGGTCAACTCAGTGGGGTTGCGTGTAGAGGGCGATTATTAACTTATCACAGGCCAAGGTTCTCCGAGGCGGAGGCAGAGTCTGCTAGCCAACTACTCTCGCTGCAGGTTGGAGCTGCCTGGAGCCTCATAAAATCTGGGTCGTTAGCCTAACCAAAAGTTAGTGAAGAGGCCTGAGGCCTAGAGGGCCTCGCCCACCGTTAGCAACCTCTCTCCAGTCCTTTAAATATATTAACGTCAGGGTGAGGAGTCTGAGCAGAGCAGTAACTTGCACTCAGTGCAGGGACGTTGAGGAAAGTTTTCTGGTGTTTGGTTAAGAAAGCTGTGGCAGAGAGCTCCACTGGGGGTAAATACATGGGGTATACAACAGACGCTAAAGAATACCACACCACTTAAAGTAAATGTTACCACCTAAAGTTAATTCAAATACAGTTGAATCCCTCCGCGTCTCCTTCCTCTCTCAGTACTATGGCTGTTTCCCCAGCCCGGAATTAACCAGGATCCTGATTTTGGTGTTTGTTCCCATGTTTTCTATTTTTTAACTTTAGATGTGCATACCCTTAAGCAATATAGCATTATTTTGCAAGTTTTAAAAACTTTAAAACGTATATTTTTGTACATCTTTATAAAACTTTTTTTCTACATTTGCTTTTGAAATATATCCGTGTCAAAACGTGTAATTCTAGTTTATCTTTTCACCCAATTACAAACAGTGTTGCAATGGGCATTGTAAACAGCTGTGCTCTTTCTCTAGTTACATATCTAGGAGTCGAAGTGCTTGGTAATAGGGTATATGCGTATTCAGCGTGAAAAGAAATGAACAATTTGCTTTCTGGGGTTTTATGTTCACTTTACACTCCCATATTCCACCAGGAGTCTTTGACAGTTGTTGTTACTGCATACTTCAACATTTGCTAAATTTTTGGCCAATCTAAGGATTTTCTAAATAGTATCCCATTGGCGTTCTTAAGTTTTACTTCTCTGATTCTAATAAAGTTGCTTTTTTAATGGAATTTTTAGCTGTTTAAGTTTTCTTCCCTTTCTGGAAACTGCCTTCCATTCTTTGCTCATTTTTTTATTTCCTGGAATTTATTTATTATTTGTAAGTATTCTTTGGGGTTTTTTTGGCTTTTAATCTTTTGTGAATATGCATGTGGCAAATATAGGCTGTCACCTTGTGGATTGGTTTGTTTTTAAACATTATTCCTATCCATATGCGCAAAAATTAATTTTAATAATGTTGAATTTATGTTTTTGATAACTTTTGTGAATGCTGCCTTTTCATATAGGAGTTATTTCCCTCTCCCTCAATTCCCCAAAGAGCTTCAGGCATCAACTGGACAAAAAAATAATCTATGATACTTATCTCATTTGGCTTGAATTGAGAGTAAGGCTTTTCTGAACGAGTTGATAACAGACTGACCTTTCTATTCTCTTAAAAAATGATTAACTGAATGCCTAAAATTTGCAAGGTGTTGCGAGAGGCAAAGAGTGAGACAGAAGAGAAAATAATACCTAAATTATATTGAAAGTTTATTCAAATCTGTGCCAAATGCTTTACATGGATTATCTCATGTAACATTCTTGTGAGATAGGTTTTATTATCCTCATTTTAAAATGGCAAAATAGAGGCACTGACAGCCAAGTCAAATAACCAAGTCACAAATATATTATATTCTATAACCTAAAGCTGTAATATTCTTAATCATTCTCTCAGTAGATAGAGAAGCCATCACAAAGAGTAGGTACTGGTCCTAATCCTACAACGGAGAATTTGGGAAAATGTGTCAGGCCAGGTACAAGATCTGCCTGTGGCTATCCCAATGTAATTTCATTATTCAATCTCTTCTACAATTGGTTTGATTGTGGGCCTGAGAAAGTTGTTTATTCTCTCCCTCTCCTCACACCCATCTCATTGTTTCTCCGGAGAGCAGCGAATTTAACAGCTGAAAGGAATCACAAAGTTCAGCTCAATATTCTTTGAGGAATAGGTAAACAAATGCACAAGAGTTTAATTTGCTCAAATTAGAGGCACAAGATCCCAATTCTTATTAATGTACCCTTGTTTTTCCTCATTATGCCATCTCTTTGTCACTTATTTCCTCTCTAGCCATATATATTTGACTTAAAAACTAGTAAATTGGTCATTTAAGATCTGGTTTGTGTTTCCTCCATTCCATTTCTTTACTCAGGAGAAAAACTATACTTCTCATCTTTGCCTTACAGACTATTTATTACTTCTGGTGGTCTGGCATTCTCCTAAACCCAAATGGGTTGTAGAGGCCAAAATTTAAATAAAACTGAACAAAAGGCATTGTTCTGACTATTTAACGCCCCTCCCTGTCATTCTTCATCTTTTTAATCACACCGTATCACCTAAAAGAACATGAAGTAACTGCTCAGCTAAGACGCTGCACTTTTAGCTCAGAGACCAAATTTAAGTATGTAAACGCAGATTAGAACTCCGATGGTGGAGAGAAAAAGGAAACGTGACACAAAAGGCCAATAGGATTTCAACCGGAAGGTACTCGGCTTCCACGCGATTCAAGGATCTATTTTCGCGCCAAAGCCAGAAATCTTTGTGTTACACACACACACACAGGGAAAGAAAAAAAAAAAACTTGTTTAACATCTCCGGCCTTGCCCTTTTCTTGATTATATAAGGGAGACACTTTGTCAGTGTATCTGATTTCTTTCTAGCCAGAGACTGTTAGGAGTACACATCCTTTCTTCAGCATAATGTAATCCTCAACCACCCCAAGATAATCGCCTTTACTTAAGCCCAGATCCGAACATGTATTTACAGCTCTAATGTTGACAACTTAGTGGCTCTTAAAAGAGCCTTTGGGGATGGGATTGAAGACGCTTACTTGACAAATTTACTTGGCGCTGGTGTACTTGGTGACGGCCTTGGTGCCCTCCGACACGGCGTGCTTGGCCAGCTCCCCGGGCAGCAGCAGGCGCACGGCCGTCTGGATCTCCCTGGAGGTGATGGTCGAGCGCTTGTTGTAATGCGCCAGGCGCGACGCCTCGCCCGCGATGCGCTCGAAGATGTCGTTGACGAACGAGTTCATGATGCCCATGGCCTTGGACGAGATGCCGGTGTCGGGGTGGACCTGCTTCAGCACCTTGTACACGTAGACCGAGTAGCTCTCCTTGCGGCTGCGCTTGCGCTTCTTGCCGTCCTTCTTCTGCGCCTTGGTCACCGCCTTCTTGGAGCCCTTCTTCGGGGCTGGAGCGGATTTAGCTGGTTCCGGCATAGTCGAGAGAAAACACAACTTACTAGAAAAGAGGCAGAGAAATAACGTAGGCTGAGCGTTAAATGGCCTTTGTATATAGAACCTCTTATGCAAAAAGTGATGCGTTAAAGTCCTATGTTTGATTGGTGGCTATTTGGGGAAACGTCAGGTTAGTTCTGCCCAATCAGAATGCAAGAATTCCAAACTCGCGTATCCATTGGTTAAAATGAATCTGCACTCCTAACCAATGACAAACCTTCTTTTTCGCGCCCAATAGGGGTTATAAAAACTGCTGCCCCTGTACTTTCATTTTGTTAGTTGCTTGAGGCGAGGCTGGTGAGGTCGTTATGTCTGGACGAGGCAAGCAAGGAGGCAAAGCTCGCGCCAAGGCCAAGACCCGTTCTTCTCGGGCCGGGCTGCAGTTCCCCGTGGGCCGAGTGCACCGCCTGCTCCGTAAAGGCAACTACGCCGAGCGGGTCGGGGCCGGCGCGCCGGTGTACCTGGCGGCGGTGTTGGAGTACCTGACGGCCGAGATCCTGGAGCTGGCGGGCAACGCGGCCCGCGACAACAAGAAGACGCGCATCATCCCGCGCCACCTGCAGCTGGCCATCCGCAATGACGAGGAGCTCAACAAGCTGCTGGGCAAAGTGACTATCGCGCAGGGCGGTGTGCTGCCCAACATCCAGGCCGTGCTGCTGCCCAAGAAGACCGAGAGCCACCACAAAGCCAAATAAGGGTGAGGAAGCTTCGCTAGAAACACTGGAAAACAAAGGCTCTTTTCAGAGCCACCCACCCTGTCAGAGAGAAGGCTGGTACACACAATTTACTGTATTTTTGCTTTTGGTTATAACCATACAAAGTGTGAAGTGGTTCTTTTCTCGGGAGGAGGTGGAGCAACTCTAATAATAAGCCTAAATATAGTGTGGTTTAACTCGAGAGTAATTTTCACCAAATGATGAAATTCTTAAAATTCTACTCGTGGAATTTTCATCTTCAAGTTAGATTTTATTGTAATGGGAGTTACAATTTGACTAAAAATATCCAGGATTTATGAAGTCACATTGATATATTCTTGATCCTATTTCTTTGGAACACATTCATTTAATGCACTTTTCTGGTAGTTCAAGGTGTAAACAGGGAATGCAGTCTAAAAGAATCTGCCTCCATGTAAAGTACTGCTTGGACAGGGGTGGGTGGGACGGGACACAAACATGTAAACGTGGTGTAAGGTCAGATAACGTATTCTATGAGTAGAGGAGATAAACTATAGAGCATAATAGGAATTACTATTTTAGATAGTGGGTAAGTGGAGATGACCTCTTTAGAGGTGTGTCCTGATCAGAGGCCTACATAAATTGAAAAAAACAAATGAGACAAGCACATGTTAGGGGAGGAGTATTCCAAGTAGAGGTAACTGAAAATGCAGAGGCTTTAAGACACAATGAGCTTGATATTTCTTGGGAACAGACAGAAGGCCCGTAAGGCTATGAAATAAAAGCAGGTAATAGGGAGGAAGAAGGACAGACCCCTAATTTATGACTGTAGAATGTGTAAATTAATACGCACTAATAATCAAAAGAAATAGCAATCCAGATCTCTGAGATACTACATTTGATAATACAAATTAGTTAGATATAAAAAGCTATGGAATCCAACCCACTTTAAAAAAAAAAAAAGGCACCATACAACTCGTATTAACTTTATCACATAGTTTACAAAGATTTAAGAAGACATGGTTTATAATACAGTACACACAGGCTTATTTGCTACTCCTAGTTTTTGTTTGCAGAGTCCTGCTGAATAGAATGACAATAACATGCAAGAGACCCAGGAAAAAAATTATGGTCACCAAATGATACAGATTGGGTTCCCTGGACAGAGATCCTGAAATGGAGTTTGGGGTGCAAGATGTTTATTAGGGACCAACATCTGTGAAGGGAAAGAGAACTAGGATTGGATGGAGGAGAATGTCAAACTGTGATACAGACCAAACATGTGCAGAGCTCTGGAGCCTATATAGTTTGTCAGAGTTGCCCCACATTGGGCAAAATGCCCCTGGACCAGCCTGTATATCCCTACTTTGCTCTGCACTGATGTGAACTGCCCAGGGGAAGGGAGTGACCTTGAATGTAAACTCAATCCAACACTGACGGAGCCGACAGGGGCTGCCTACCTGCTAACTGCTCTCTGCAGCTGGGCAGCAAGTCTTCCCTTGATGGGGGTCCAGGCACTGCATTTCCACGTCTATGACACATATTAACATAAATATACATATCAACGTTGAGTACTGTCTGTGATGGTATTTCTAAGACTGACTTTAGCATACGCAGCTGATACTGCTTCTTTACTTTCATCCTGGAATTCAAAGGGGATGTTTTCTTTTTAGAGAAATGAAAAAACATGCAAACTTTCTAAAAACCTTTTCTAATTTTATATATTCCTGTAAGAGCTTTAGATGCCTCAATCATAGCAAATGGAAGCTGATATAAAACAATTGTAAGGAATATGAGAGGATTCTCCACTGGCCTTCTCTCCCTCCTCCAGATCTAGCAAATTGCTTCACTCATCCAATACTGGGAAATAATCCAGCTTTGCACTATAATGTGAAGGCTTCAAAATCAATAGTTGAGGCCCAAAGGAGAGGAGAATGAGCTTTTCAAGAAAACATGGAAGAATATTCAGTACTGATCACTTATGGGCTCTATATGGATACATATGGATATATTTATTTAATTCTTACAACCCTTTGAGGTGGGTATTGTTTCAGTTTAGAAAAGAAATGCTATGGACTGTATATCTGTGTCCCCCAACCTCAAATTAATATGTTGAAATCCTAATAGCTCCCAATGTGATGGTATTTGGAAGTGGGGCCTATGGGAGGTAAGAGGGTTGAGGTGAGGTCATAAGGGTAAAATCCTCATGATGGGACTAGTGCCCTTACAAGAGGAAGAGACCAGAGCCACCCCCATTCCTTGAGCCCACAAAGAAGAAGTCACATGAGCACACAGAGACATGGTAGCACCTACAAACCAGGAAGCAGGTCTTCACCAGACACTGAATCTGCCAGCACCTTGACGATGGACTTCCCGGACTCCAGAACTGTGAGAAACAAATGTTGGTTGTTTAAGCCACCCAGCCTATGGTATTTGTTATAGCATCGCAAACTGAATGGACAAGAAAAGACAGTGTTATTTATCCAATCAGGTTCTCAATTTGTAGGACAGAAAGTTATAACTCAGGATATTATTTACGTCAACACAGAACCCACACGTGACTGTCTTCTCTTAACTACCTGGTCTTGTATACTTTGGTCTAAGGTGTGTAAAAACTTGGATGAGAATGCTAAAGGGAGATGTTGAAAGATTTTAGTAGGAGAGTTTCGTGATCAGATTTGCATTAACAGATGCCAAATGAAAAAGAATAAAACTAGGTAGATTTAATTATTCAAATAGTGTTTACAATAGTTTAAAGTGAATAACGAAAGATTCCTGAAAATGAGGATCACACTTAAAAACACATACTTTTCCTTACATTCCACCCTTCACCCCATCATCTTCATACCTATTCCTAGATGGAGTTGTTGTCATGCATTGTTTGTAGGGAACGATTGTAAAGCCAAATCGAAGGTGTAAAGGTTTACGCTCCAAAATTACTGCATGCTTTTGATAATTAATAATGACAAAATCTCAGACATATATATGGTAATGGGTAATGAGAATGCTTGACTAAGGACAAAAGAATGTAATTTTATATCCAGCTGACTTAGTTGACATGGCTTCACATATCATGGAATCTAGATTCTGTGTGTGCTAGTTTGAGCCTTGATAAGAGTTCTGTTTACAAGGCTCACCGACTGACTGATATCTAGACTCACAATTGGCAATCAGTAAATGAACTTAAGATCCCAGATAGCATTTGGAATAATATAAAACAAAAAACTTTGTAGGTAAAATTGCTGGTGTAAATTAAAATTGTTTGACCTATCAAAAACTAACCTTATTACATTCACAGCAGAATTGCTAAACTAACTGATATTTTCAAGGAGAAATCAGTGCAGTCCATACTTTGCTTGAAAACTTTATGAATTAATAAAATTATCAGACTAGAATTAGAAAGTGTATTTAGGGGTTGACCTGTCTGATTTGATCTGGTACTCCTGGTAAATAAGTTAGAAGCCTCTCCTGAATATACCAGCTCCTGTAAGTCTCCAAAATGTCCTTTCAGTAAATTAGATGATATAAAGAGATAATATTAGAGTTGTTTTTTCCCTTCCCCAGGGGGAAGGATTACTATTTTACAGTGATCAACTCTCCCTGTTCCACCTTCATGGACTCACCACCATTATTGCCAGAAGCGAGTAGATTCTCCTTTCCTCCTGGCTTCTCATTTCTCTTCCATTGCTTCCCAGTGGCTGAAACTAACCAGAACATGGCTGGCAAAGGAACCAGGGAAATGTAATTTATAGTCTTCTAGGCTTCAGGATACAAAGGAAAGCATGAATTTGGGAAAGAAAACAGACATATAAAAAAAGCAAAGTGTTTCCCGTGTACCTGACCTTCTTTACTTCCAGGACTTCTCTGTTTCGCTTGTCAAGGAAAATAATCCATAACCAATCTGTAAATGAAAATTTGGGTGAGTTTATTCTGAGCTGAAATCTGAGGACCATGGCCCGAGGTCTTTCTTCCCAAAGGAAGAAAGGGCACCGAAGAAGTGGGGTGCACAGAGTGGTTATATACCCCCAAACAGGGTGTTTCACATATGATTGAAATGTCCCTCCCACAATAGTCACAAGATTGCCCTGTTGGCACAGCACTTGATGGACACAGCAGGTAGTGGGTCTGCTATCTTCGTGGGCGTAGCAGGAGGCAAGTCTATTGTCTGGAGCTGGGTGGTCACAGGTGAGCGCAGCAATCAGTTTCTAGCCTAAGGAAAGATGCTTAATCCTTAAGAAGACACCAAGGTTGGGAGGGGCAGGGAAGTTGCACCTTTACCTCAAGGGCCTTTGTTCTTGCCATAGGGAAAATCTAAAGCAGATATACAATGCATGCTCAACAGCCACGGTCAGGCCCTTTTGGAAAGACAAGGTCAGGCCAAATTAGGTCTATACCAAATGGCTTCCTCATATTCTCCAATATATCCTATTGCTTGCCATTTTTATTTGTCACTCTCCTTCTTTCATTATACTCCAATCACAAGAGACCATTGTTTCTAGAACATGTGATGCTTCTTCCTGCCTCAGTAGCTTTGCATTTACTATTTTCAAGGCCAAGAGTGTTTGTTGAACTCGTCTTTCCTTGAATAACTCCGATTCATTCTTCAGTTTTCCTAGTAGTGCATCTCTTCAGTGAGGTATTCCCTGAATCCTAATCCACATTATGCCTGCTGACAGCCATTCACTGTTACTACACCAGGGTCTTAAACTCCCTGCCAATTATTATATTTTAAGAACAAATAACTTTTCTATTTTTGTTTATTTTTGTTTTGTAAACTCCACTAGCATATAAGCTAGAAGAGGTCAGTACGTCAGCCAGTGTTCCATCAGGAAAAGGATATTCACTCAAATTGAGTACTTTGATTATTGTTCAATAGGCTACTTGTAAAGTGAGCAAGGAGTTAGGAAACCACGAGGGATAGTGTGGTGCCCTGATAAAGTTAATTGATATATTTGGACCCACAAAATAGAGGCTACCCCAGTGACCCGGCCCATGTCACAAATCTAAATCTAGGTCAGCTGC